CACTTCCGCACAAGAACGGACACACTTTAAGGTCATTACGTTCGCGAAACTGAGAATACCATGAGTATCTCATCTTAACCTGACTTAACGCTTCTACGACCTTTGAAGTTTATGAAAATTTTGAGTTTTCCTATCTTTACATTCAATTTCTAGAAATGAGAACAGATTGAATGTTTCCGATAAGCAATCCTATTTTATTTCTAATTAGCGAAGTGCTATTTTTTAAGAGAAAGAGAATTTGGAAGAAAAGGGTGGAGTGAAATTTTTCTGGAGCCACAAGCTATATTTTGACTTTCTGGCTTCCAAAGCCTGAGTTCTGTAATAGGCAAAACATTGCATTTTCCTTTTTTCTTCATACTGTGACCTTAACCAACATTCACAGTTTTAGTCGTATCTCTTCAAAGACACTTTTTCCAAGCGAAATGGGGACATTCCAGTTTTGGTGAAACAGATAAGATTTAACTTCTTTGGCCATCTATCTTGGGCTTGTAATCCACCGTTTAGGATTACGTTGCCCTTTGAAAATGCGCTCATCTTAACATTTGAAAGAAAAGCCTTTTTAGCATTACAGCAGATCGTGTCGTATTTCAAGTGAGTCATGTCACTTCAATTGACCGAAACTTAAATCCACACTTTCGTAAAACCAGTTTGAAGTAAGAGATATAGAAAATCTCAGAGTTAAAATGGTGTTTGAAATGTTCATCGTATTGTAAAAAACTTTATAAGGCGGCTGTATCTCGATTAATTAGACGATAAACTGCGTAATGTTCACTTGTAAAGTTATGCCCTTATAAATGCAATAGTATCTTTACAATAGAATCTTGAACCACTACTTTTTTAAAAGGAGGGGCAAGAACAGAGAGAAACTGCAAGATTTAAAGCTAAGATCACTAGCTTTGTAAAGATAATGGTGTGAAGCTACAGATAATGACTACTGATAAAGAAAGAAAGGTAAATTTTAGAAGGTCCGCTTAATAAGTTTGTTGCTGTCTAAATGTGCAGCAAATACTCACTACTATTTCAATCGTAACCTGCTTGTTACCAGGTAGACCAGCACTAAAGAAAGTCAAAGACTACAAGATTACATACAAGAGTCAAAGACTGTCATACCGGTGAACGAAAGATAGTGGTTGTTGTACTTTCTTCTTTTCTCTTGCCAATACAGTTTGGCGTATTAAAATATGAAAATCATAGCTAAGAGTAAGATAATAGAGGATAAGAAAAGAGCTGGACCTTTAGCTGAACGAGATACGGCATTACATATGATTTCATTTAACATCAATGGATGGAGAGCTGCGATTTCATTGGGAATTGATCATGCATTTATTTGAAAAGTTGTTATCATTTTCGTGCTTCTCTCAGTCATAATAACATATTCGATCGATGAGATGCAATATTAACACTGTTTATCCCTACAGTCGCATATTGCGGAAATGAAGGTTTTTTAGTGTTTGATCAGCCTGCTCGTCAGTAGGGTTGGAAGCAATCAAAAATATACTGTTTTTAGAACAAATTTGGTTGACAGAATGATTAGAGCGGCCTATGACAATGAGCGACGAAGCTCCGAATGGACAGTGAGCAATGATTGTGCTGTCAACTGATTTGCAAATAGTCCAGGGTAGCAGCCCACCGAGAGCAATGCACGGGAGGAGGGACACGCTAGATCCAAACACACTTTGAAAGAGCTCCTTAGTAT